AAAATAATATGTGTACATATATACATTATACATCAAATGTGTATGTTTAAATATATGTGGGTTGAGGCAGGCCTGATTAGGGCTTGAAGTATTAGGTCTAGGCCCGACCCTAAAATTTGTAGGCCTAATGTGGGCTCGGGCCTAAGCCGGGCTTGAACACAAAACTTAAGCCCAAGCCCAAAATTTATGGTCTAAAATGATCACCCCTAGGCTGGAATTATCATTCCCTCAAATGGAGAAATGCCATTCTACCAAAAATAGGAACCAAAATCCCATTCCACCTGATCAAGTAACTAAAATTGGAATGTACCAGGCCCATATTCTTACAAACCAAACAGATCCTTAAATTAATAAATAAAATTGTTTTATAGAGACACTAGTTTCTTGGTGATCTTATCCTTCTCTCTCTCATATATGCAGCAAGAGTGGTGACATGTCTCTTTACTTTTCATTTATTTATACTAGTTGATTGGCACATGCAAGAGGAGGTAGACGAGAGAGAGATGAGTAGTAGGGTGAGGAGAGAGAAAAATAAATGGATTAAAATAAAATTTTCACATGGTTGTGTGGACATGAAGCCTAGTCAAGTATTGGTATGATATATTTATTTACATATTAACTTTACTTTCTTCTTCATGTAACTTTTTTCTTTCCATGAAGGTAGGAGTTAAGTTGAAAAGATAAAGGAGACAATGCTCATTAAAGAAACAAAGATCACTTTTTCTGAATAAAATTGAACAGTCATTAGACAGTAAGGAGAATATGAGAGATGAAAAATAACCGCATTCACATTTTGAACCCATGGATTATGAGGCTAAGATTTCTAATAGCATTTGCTACTCACACCAACTTTACAGCATGTTGCAGCTTTATATTGGGAATATCTCTTCATGAATCACAATATTCAAGTATGGGAGATCAATGTTCTTGATGTGCGGCTACATACAAGTGCTGTAAGGTTGGTGTAAGGTGCACTCTATGAAGAGTAAATTCAGATTCCTATTACGATACTGTTTAGGCTTCGTTTTCTTTTTGGTAAGTTACTTACCTAGGTAAATGCAATTATCTGGATAAGTTTTTCTTAGGAAACACTTACCATAGTAAGTTCATTTACCCATGTTCTTTTATTTTTTATGTCAATAAGACAATGACCATTTTAGCGATAAAAATTCATTATTAAAAGGGGCATTTTTATCCTATTCAAGTGTTGGCAACTCCCCCCCTAGGTGGGAAAGTTATTTACCCACCTAGGAGATAGGTATCACTTACCCAGGTATGTGATACCCAGGAAAAGAAACTTTCCCTAGTCCCCACATAAATCTGAAAAAAGAACATGGGATTCTTGGTCAATGGAAACCAAAATCCCATTGACCAACTTTCCCCCCTCTCAAAATCCGAAAAAAGAACGCCCCCTTAGTGTTTACTAGCAAGAAAGTGAGCATATGTGTTCTTCTGTCTAAAAATAAAACCATAAGAATAAATTAAGGGTCCCTTTGGCTCACAGTTAGAATTGGAACTAGAATGGTCTATTTCCATACTGTTTGGTTCAAATAGGGATCGAAATGGAAATTGGAATCAATTGGAATGGCCGGGATTTCATTCCCAAGGAAAGGGGAGGCAATGACCATTTCCTCAAATGGGGGAATGCCAATTCCACTAGAAATGAGAATTGGATTCTAATTCTGCACAACCCAACAGTTAGAATGGAAATAACTCATTCCAGTTTCGATTTAAGACTCCTACTCCTGCAAACCAAACCGGCCCTAAATCAAATGACTGGGTCACTTCCTGATCCTCCTTTCTAATATGATAAAAAAGAAATCATCAAATATTTTTAGGGGTATTAATGTTGGATTTGTTAAAGAGTTGGAATAGAATAGTGCAATCAAGAAACGTTTAATTTTGGAAAGAACATCAAGACTGTTTGCTTTGAAAGAAAAAGGTAGGGAAAAACACAGTGCAAGTTCCTAAATGGCTTTCCACCCCGAGCTTTATTTGGCAGATGAATGCGTCCAACCACCTATTGATTACAGTTGCAGGTTGTCCTTTGGGTATGGTTAATGATGTACTAAAAGCAGATCTTAGACGTTAGAGCTATTTTGTAGACCTTACTTTTTTGCTAAAAGGGTTAATTGGAGAACCATTCGTGTGGAAATCTGATTGTTATTGGAGCTTGTGGAATCTCATCTTGGTCATCTTTAGTTATCTTAGACAAGGTAAGAATGTTTTTGGAGTTATGTAGACTACTGTGGCTCATCAGGTTGCCCATAAAAAGAAAAAAAGGTTGATGTTCTGTTGTCTGACTCTAGAGTTTTTGAGAGATAATGGATACTTTATTTTATAATTTATACTCAACCCTTAGACCCTAACCCTATACTCTAAAGTCTAACTCTAAACCCTAAAAATAAGCACTTCATCAACAAGCATTATCTATTATGCTTAAAATTTAATGAAACCCCATCAAACCAACCAGAGGTGGATTTAGTACTGTCCAAAAGATACTAACAAGGTCAAGGTTTGGTAGAATCAAATCCCTGCAGAGCCAAAATAGATAGTAAAGAATCTGACTCTAGCCTCACAGTCTTCTCCAACCTTGATCCCTAGCAAAACAATAGCCTTTAATTCTGCCTCCAAACTCCAAACTGTCCTTTCTCAGCTTCATTGATCCACCTGCAACAAATGACCAGAGTCATTCATTACTTATAAATCCATATGAACCCTCCCATTACTATTCATTCCTCTATTACAGTTGATTTATAAATTCATGGGAATTGCAATTCCTTTATATTAGTTCTTCTAGATTGGGAAAGGAAAACACCCTACAGTTTCCAGCATTACCCTCTTTTACAGGACTTGCATAAAAGATTTGAAAAATATGCTTTAAAATCCATTTAACCTATATTTTTCCTCATTATGAAATAGAATTCTATTTTGCACAAATCATATGTGGTAAAGGCAACAATCACCCAAACCAGAACACTTTCTTCTTCAAATTCATTAGAAATGGAGTTCAGATGTACTTATATACATGAGAAAGTCTCCATTACGATTAAATTGAATTTCCTTGGAGTAAATACACCATGGAGTGACAAATAACAAAGCCCTGGCCGGGTACAATATGTAAATTGCATTTGCACTGATGTAACTTAATTGGACTGCAAATGGGTTGAGTGTAAATCTTGGTTTATTTTTGGTTCAGATTCAACTTTGTTTTGTTCATTTTTAAGAAGTGAAATAAGAAGTAAAATGATGTGGTTCCCGCCTTAATGAAAGAAAAATGGGAGGAAGGCTATTTGTTTGGGACAAAGTCAGGATGCTAGGGTAAAAGGCTGGCAGTTCTTTTTTACCTGTCTTTGTGATTTGTGGGGGAGGGCTAATAACCCAGTATTTTTACTCTTTTTACCAAAAAGAAAAAATAGTTAGTCATTACTTTATATGAAAGGAGAATGAAGATGGTAGAAAGTGATGAAATTTTCTTCTTTTTTTTTTGCATTAATTTTTTAAGCTTAATTTGAAAGGAATACAAATACAAATATATAAAACACAAAACCTTGTATTTTATATGTATTTATATTGTACATATTTTATATTTGTATTCTTTCTAAACTAAGCCTTAGATTCAAAATATCACTGCTAATGTATGCAAATGAGACAAAAAATATAAATTGCACATTATGTAAGAGTGCAAATAATAGTTAAAAGCAAATGAATGCAAAACTAAACCCAGTGAGAAAATCTTAAAGTATCCAAATCTTTATAATATGCTGATAACCCACTAGTTGAGATGGTCAATCCGTACCCTTCCAAAATAGAAGGCATGGTGAAGCCCATGTAACCCAACCACATGCCCTTCACGCTATGACCCAATGGACCTCACGTACAATTGCTCTAAACTCTAATACCCTTCTAATGCAAACTGGATATATAATCCCAAAGAATCCCCTTATAATACAATTTGACATGTAATATATTGTCCTATAGCATGTGTCTTCTCCCCTTCCATTTTCTGAAACAAAATAAACAGAAAATCTATTAGAATTTGACGCGACCCAAACATAAGATGAGGAAGTAGGAATCCATTCCCATCCAAGAAATGGTCTGACCAACGTTTTTGTTCTTATCGTTTGTCCAATTGATGCGTTCGTCCAAAAAAAAAAGGTCCTTATGAGCACACATTCGCATGGGCCAAATTATTCTATAAATAGATTAAAACTTTAAAAGGTCTTGTCAAATCTAATAAGATTATTATTAGTGTTCTGTTTGGTTCCAATGAAGAAAACTGAATGATTTCCTTCAAATTGATTTTGAAAAATCAAGGCCCTGAAGCCTGAATGGTTAATGGATTCTTCTTGCATATAAAGGGTGTTGCAAGATTTGAATCCCAAGGTTAACTTAAAACCTCTTTCCAAAAACAACAGAATGTCTGCTTTTTGCAGCAAATTATGCGAATCAAAGGGCGGTGCGAGGTTACGAAAATACCGTTTTTATTTATTTATTTATTATTTATTTGAGGTGATAGCCCGACTCGATAGGAGATGGGCCCCATCTTAGTAGAGTGGCACTCCACGTCTCCAGTCTCCACCCTCTATGGCTATAACCTACCCCATATAACCCATTCCCCTATAACGATGTTGATTGTTGATTGTTGAGGGGCCTAATTGGTTTGTACTGCCGTTCACCTCACAAATCTGAAATTACAGCCCCTTTACAAATACTCATGGGCTAATTCGTAAATATAAAAGGAAGGGGGGTATCCTTGAAAAATCTCTGAAAGTGTTTCAGTGTTTCGCTGTTTTTCCCTGTAAAGGAGAAAATGAATAAAAAATAAATAAAATACGCGGAACCTTGTCAAGAATAAGATAGATACTGACCGTTTAGAACACGTGTAAGCCTATAATTGGATTAAGATCGATGACGTGGCGCACAGTCTAAATGACAGGTGCTGCACGTCGAGAGATGCTCATGTATATGAATTGCCTTCTCAGAGGTCTGAAGCCTGAACCCCTCTCTCTCTCTCTCCCCCTCAGATGTCTGTCACGGCCAAGATATAAGCCTCCAAGCTCTCCAGTCTTCCTACCTTCCAGTTTTATTCTAGTTTTAGATGTCTGGAAGTCTTGTTCTTTGGTGGGGTTCGGGCTTGAATTTCTTCGGTTTCTCCTCTGATTCTGGGTACAGAGGTTTAGAGTTCATCGTCTTTATAGGGCAGTTGATCTTCTTAAAACTGGTAATGAAGCTCTCGACTGGTTGATTATAATTTAGTTTACTTTCTTATCTGTTTTTCTTCTTTTCCCATTTCGAACTTTGAATCTCAGAATCAAATGTGTCCAGAGAGTTCAGACTTCGGAGTCAGCCTGCGAGACGATTGGAGTCGTTCGAGTGGGGGAGAGGGTGTCCGTGGATCGTCAGAGTATGATGGTATGTACTACGATTCACGATCTCCGAAACATTCTTAATTGGTTGGTTTTTGCTTCTGAAACAATCCTTTTATGGGATGTTCCTGGGATTTGATTGAGAAAAGCTGGGTTAGTGCAAGTTCATGTCTTTTGATTTTTTATGATTCGGATTTTTCTTAGATTGGAGAGAACTTCTGAAGAAAGTAGAGAATGCCCAGACATAATCGGAGCATAGAGGGTACGGTTAGGGGACGCTGCAACATCAGAAAACGGGGCTGTTCGTCGTCGTCTTCTTCGTCTTCGCTAGTGAAGAATTACAGGATCAAGAGAGCGATTCTGGTTGGGAAGAGGGGAGGATCGAGCACGCCGGTTCCGACATGGAAGATGAGCTCGAGATCCCCTTCTTCTCTGGTGGGAATCGCTGAGTCGCCGAAATACCCCCCGTCTCATAGCAGTGGTAAAGGAAAGCAAGCTCCAGTGTCAGCGAGGAAGCTCGCTGCCACTCTATGGGAGATGAACGAGATACCGTCGCCTAGAATGAAAGACGTTTTGGAGGTGAGTAGGATCAGGAAAGAGACGAGGAGCAGAGAAAGGATGGCAAGCTCTGTTCAGTCGGGTTCTCTGCCATCCCATTTATCAGATCCGTCGCACAGTCCTGTTTCAGAGGTGGCTGCCTCTTCTTCTTCTTCTTCTTCTTCTTTGGATTTTTCTTTGTTTTGGGTCACTTAAACTTTTAAGTTCATGGCCTTTGTTGTTTCTTATCTACATTTTTTCCTCTTTTTCGTTCTTCTCTGTTTAACATCTCACTGAAACTGTCTGTAATTTCTTCATCTCCATTTTTGTAGAGAATGGATCGCTCTGGGACTGGTAGTCTCCACAAAAGAACATCAGCAATTTCGCATAGGCTTAGCCATAATGATCATGGACCTTTCGATTCTCTAAGCAATGCTAGTTTAACAGAGGTACCCAAACTCTTAAACCATTTATTCTTTCTGCAACTATTTATGTAACTGAGATGAGATAATGACTAGTGAGCATGTTTATTTTGTTGCAGATTGGGACAAGATCTCGAGCCATGACTCCTACAGGATCCATTTTAGGAGTTAAGACTCGATTGAAGGACGTTAGCAATGGTCTGATCACTGCTAAAGAACTTCTCAAAATACTCAACAGGATTTGCGGTCTTGAAGAGCAGAATGCATCAAGCATGTCCATCGTCTCTGCCTTGCGTGCTGAGCTTGAGCGTGCCCGTTTGCAGGTCGAGCAGCTTATCCTAGAACAGCGTTCTGATCGGAATGAGATCAATTACCTTATGAAGCGTTTTGCGGAAGAGAAGTCAGCATGGAAGAACAAGGAGCAAGAAAAGATTCAGGCGGCTATACAATCCATTGCAGGAAATCTTGAGGTAGAGAGGAAGCTGAGGAGACGCAGCGAGGGCTTGAATAAGAAGCTCGGAATGGAATTGGCTGAGACTAAAGCATCTCTTGCAAAGGCAGTAAAAGAACTGGAGAGCGAGAAGAGAGCGCGTGAGATACTAGAACATGTCTGTGATGAGTTAGCCAGGGGAATTGGAGAAGAAAAAGCAGAGATGGAAGAACTGAGGAGAGAGTCTGAGAAGGTTCGTGAAGAGGTGGAGAAGGAGAGGGAAATGCTTCAACTAGCTGATGTGTTGCGCGAGGAGAGAGTGCAGATGAAACTCTCAGAGGCTAAATATCAGTTCGAGGAGAAAAATGCTGCAGTTGACAAGCTGAGGAGTGAGCTTGAGGCTCTTAGGACAAAAGGGGCTAAAGAAAATGGAACCATCTCTCAGAATAGTCGGGGCAAAGCAGATGTAGCATCCCATCTGAGTAGAACCCATTCTGGTTCTTATGGGAAAGAAGACGGAGAGGACGATGGAGAAGTTGAAGATGGAGAAAACCCAGAAGAAGACTCTGCAGAGAGTGATCTTCATTCAATAGAGTTAAACATGGACAATAACAACAAGAGCTACAGGTGGAGTTATGCTAACGGTGCTACTCAAGGGGATCCAAAGAGAGTTTTTGAGGAAGAAATTAAGGGGAGAAGGTCTACCTCTGAGAAAATGTCTAGGGGAAGTAGCTGTCTGGAAAGAGGCGTCTCAGAAGGAATTGAGTGGGATTTCAGTAATGATCAGACTTTTCAGAACCATGGAGATGGAATCGATTGGACAAGGTTCTTGGAGCATGACAGACAGTACTATGAAGATGAAACCCAGAGATACAAATCCGTGAAAGGCCTGAGAGACCACCTACTTTCTGGCTCGAGGATAGCATCAGCAAGGGACTTTGCCAGTCCAACACGGCAATGGAACCAACCATGGCCTTCACGAGACTCAAGCAACTCAGCTCGTGAAAGGCTAGCAATGGCTCAGGAGAGTAGTTTGAAGGCCAGGCTAGTGGAAGCTAAAGGGTTGGAAGGCCAGACTTCAAGACGTTCAAGAGGGTAATAGACTAATGGTAAATGGTTTCTATATTCTTCTGTCCATCTCATCCAATCCATCTGATTGCCTTCCTGTAGAGATAAGCTTACCTCCTACTAATGGCTGCCCAATTTGCACTACTCTGTTGACATTGAAACATGAAACTGTTAATAGACTTCAGTAAAGTTATGTGAGTCAACTTGAGGCACTTGTGTACAAAAACTTGTTCTAGTGTTAATGAGCAATGATCATCCTACCAGTATCAAAATTTTGGAGTTCTACATGTTTGTCTTTCTCTGTTCTCATATTATAAGTTATTCAACAACTCAACTGAGATCATATTTTACATAGATGAACATTGAAAGAATCAAATAATTCATAATTTCAGATAATTGCAACTGTTACAAGTTACAACCACCATTATTGAATAGCTTATTATATATATTTGAAGTCCATTGGACCTCCATCTACTAAAGACAAACAAAAGCTATATATTTTTGTTGTTAGGGTGGCAGTGGGTCCTATAGCTGCAGCTTAGGAAGTTCTTAGCCTGAATCTAGTCAAGCTATTAAGAACATTGAATATGCCAGAACACCTAACCAACAAACAACCAAGGGAGCATGCTGAGCTGGGCTCAGGTGGCATGGCAGAGCTGAAATTTAAATAAGATTGACAGGTGGAAATGCAATAGCTTGTGTTGGGACTGCTCGACAAATTTACGGAATGGGTTGGTTTATCCAAATGAGTAAATTAAATTTAGTGGTGAAGTGTCGATTGCTTGAATCCTTTTTTCTTTCTTCACATCTTTTATTTTCCTTTTTTGTCTTGAGCAATCTTGTCTTTACCTTCTTTTTTCACTGGGTATTGTTGTCTGTTGACAATACGGGTCCTTGTGAACTTGAGCCCAAGGATCGAAGAGTAACATATGACTTGGCTGCTTCTTCATGGTAAAATGGTATTGCTTAGTATGGAGGTCTCTCTCTCTCACAGGCTTAAGTTTGGGTTACTATTGGAGATGGATCATTGTGCCTCAGAGAGTTCATATTAAATCAACAGCGATTTTGATTATTGAGGAGCTTTTGTTCTGGGTGGCTTTGACCACCCATAAGAACTTACTAAAAGTACTGATGGAATGACCAGAATCAGTTCATAAAGTTACTGTTTCTCAAATGAAATATAAATTTGATACCAGAGATGTCGTATTCATATAGATGTAGGGCTGTAATTGGGTCGGATCCAACTACATCCGTATCCGATTGTCAAACCTTAGATCCAAATCTGGTATGTCGGATTTCAGATCTGATTGGGATTTAATTGACATCCATGTTATTGTGTTTAAAATGACAAAATTGGAAAAGATTGTAGAAAAGCTAATTATTTTTAACTTCTATATGTATGATAAATATGTAAATATAAAATATTAAATTTATCTGTTATAAATTTTGTATGATTGTACACATATATATATATATATATAACATTCTTGGATTTTAATAGGATTGAATGGGGTAAAATCCATGTCTGATTGGATGCAATTTCTAACAGATATTGTGCACTTAATGCAATATTCATGATCTTGGTCATGCATTCTTTTCTCCTCAACTGGGGAATACAATGGAGTGCTATTAATATAAACTATCATTCTTACAGAAGTTAAAGAAAATTAAGACATAGGAGAGAATCAAATAGATGGGATTTTAGAGTTACTACAACAATTGAGGCAGCATATCAGATTTGTTAGAAGAAAAGATGAGTTTGCTGGTAGATTTTGGAGAAAAACCATTGAGTTAAAATTATCTTTTGTTCATTCTAATCTGATCCGGGAGCGAAACATGAGTATCAGATTTCCCAAATTTACTTTCAAAATTCAACAAAAGTTCAACCAGAGTCCAAGTTGCACCACTATCTCAACATGATTTATATAGAGTTGTGTAGATGGGGTACCTTTCTGTTGATGGGTTGGATCAAACAATAAAGAAAATCAATCAGAGGGAAGGTCTTTCTCTTGCAACATGATCTGGATTTGCCACTGTGCAATAGCAGCCAAGGAACATACCCTGTTGATTTATAATTGTATTGAATGAATGCTTCAGATCACTAAGGCTGTGTTTGGTTTGAAGGAAAAAGTAGGGAAAGGAAGGAAAAGGTAGGAAAACCTTTAGGCTCCGTTTGGTTTGTGGGATGGGATGAGAAAAAGGGAATATTCCGAAAATATTTCTTTTTCTCTCATTTGTTTTGGGGAAAGAGAGGGATGGGATGAGAAAAATGTGGGATGTCACCAGAAATTTGGGAAAGTACTATTACAATCGAAAGAACCACCGTTACTAGCCTTCTTCTTCACCTGGCAAGGAACCAGTGTGAGGGGCAGCGGCGGTCTCCCTCCATCTTCCTCTTCTCCCTCACCTTCTTCCCGTCTTCACCAGATCTGCCACAATCTACGAGGGGCACTCCTATTCTTCCCATCTTCACCAGACCTGCAGTGAACCAGGCAGCAATGAAGAACCAGGCAGCAGCGAACCAAGCAACGGCAAAGAACCAACAATGCTTTTCCGGCAATTAACCAACAATGCTTCCCTGTTCTTTCCATCTTCCTCCCTCACCTTCTTCTTCTTCTTCTTTCAGCAAAGAACCAACAGTGCTTTTCCTTTATTTTCCCATATGTGAAACCAAACGCTGGAAAGTTAAATTTTTACACTTTCCCATCCCATCCCATCTTTTCCCATCCACCCAAATCTTCCCACAAACCAAACGGAGCCTTACAAACCTTGTATAGGTTTCCTTGCCTTTCCCTTCCTTTCCCTACCTTTTCCTTCAAACCAAACATAACCTAAGCAGTTAGGAAGGAGTTCAAAAGAGAAGTTGAGCGGGCAAAATTGATCTAAAACCTTATACTGAGTTCCATCATATAATGAGAAGGTCCAATAATTTTCGATTTGGTCCAACGTGATGGTTTTAAAGGATATCCAAATTCCAACTTACCCGAATTGGATTTGAATCGTTAGAATAATATCCTATAGGAACGGAAGAATCATCAGCATACTTGAAACTAAGAACTATACCTCTACCACCCAGACTAGAAAGAACTGGTTAATTTGCAAAACAAAAAATTTTACGAGTCTAGATTTGCTACCAAGAAAGCATATTTGAGATGTTAAGGGATCCGGTTGGAAGCTTTGCTGGTAGTGTCTTGTTGGTAGCAAATCAGGACTCAAAATCTATATGTGCATGTGCATCCCTATGAGTCAGAATGGACTAAGATTAACCTGACCAAGATGTTGCTCAATTTTAGGCCTGTATTTTGGCCCAGGGCTGGCCACCCAAGCCCAATATTTATATAAACTATCAGGCTCAATGCCTCCATCTTCTCCTTAAGTTCTTTAAGCTGTGTATGGTTTGACAGAAAAATAAGTTAGTAACAGAAAGTTGAGGGATAGTTTTTATGGAATTTTACAGAATTTGTTAAGAATTTTCTCCCAACTTCTGCTTCATCTTATTTTCTATCAAACCAAAGATAAATTTGAAGAAAATTGTGGGCAACTCCCAAAAATATGTATTTTTGGATTTTTGATATAATCTTCGCCAATTAATCCATTTAGGATATTAGTAGGCTCCCATTTTTCAAAATAATTAAGAGATTATTTGGTACTGCACGTTGGCATTTCAAGTATAAATGCTACTACTAGCATCACATAAGCATTTTGAATTTAATGGAAAGGAAATGCAAATATGTCCTTGTTTGAAGTTAAGTTGTCAGGAAATTCCTTTTCTATTTGTTTTTAGAAATAGAAAAGGAAATTCCTCTCTCTCTCTCTCTCTCTCTCTCTCTCTATCTATCTATCTATCTATAAAAGTGTGAATAGGTGTCCTTGGCTTCTAAAATTTTCATTGAACATCAAATGCCCCTCTCTAAAGTTTAAATTGGAAAAAAGCAAAATCTAAGTTGTTACTTTACATCTTCATTTAATGCTTTTTTTATAAAAGGGCACAAAAGTACTTCTTTTGTTCAATAATTGGAAAACAAGGTAGAGCAAAAATGTCATTTTACATTTTTCATGTAATGTTTATTTATACTATTATTAAAAGTGTGAATAATGGTGTGCTCCATGTGGAACTTTTATTTGACTAAATTACACCAATTTTTTAATTTGGTCCTTATCTAATTTTAAGTACAGAAATGTAATTTGAAATTAAACCACTTTCCTCCTCATTCAAATCCTTCTCATTAAGTATCATATTTAAAGTATTAACTCCCATTGGCATTCATTGAATCTTATTCTTGACTAAAATACTCTTATTTTTTAAGTTGGTCCCTCTCTGATTGTGAGAGCACAAAATATAATTTGAAGCGCGGCATTTCTCTTCATTCAATTCCCTCTCATTAAGTTTTATTTTAGGGTATTAGCTTTCAGTCTTTTATTGAATTCTATATTTAAGATATTATTTTCATAAAATAAAAACAAATAAATTATATTAATTAAATACATATTCAATACTTTTAATGATATAAAACACATATTTTTAAAATTTACTAAAAAATGGAACCATTTTTCCATCATGGTGGCAAGTAAACAATTCAACCATCCGGGTCAAGTGGGCTAATCCATGACATCATAATTAAATAAAAAAATTTAAATTATAAATAAATAACAAATATAGAAAAATTGGGCACATCTCTATTATATATATATATATATATATATAACATTCCAAAAATATATATAAACTATAATTATTCTTATTGATATTGGAATGAAATATAAATTTAAAGCCAATCCAAAAATAAAAATTATTTTTGTAGTGGCAGATTGACAATTCAACCTTTTTAAGTCAAATGTATCAACCCTTTTAAGTAAAATGGTATTGCTAGTTTATTAGATAACTGCCCCATCTAACATGGTTAGAATTTGTTTTAGGGCCCATTGGTTTAAAGGAGGAAAGTGTTACAGGGTCTTCCCAAATGACAATGTTCTTCCCTCTTGAAACACTCCAAGCGGTTCCCTCTTTTAGGATATCTCTAGGGACCAACAAGTTTATAAACCCCCAAGAACAATTTGATGGAACTTTTAAACTCCAAAAATTCTTACCCCTCAAGTATATTCCTTTTATGACTTTTTCCAAAGACTCTCTTTATTGGATAAGAATTTCAAAGCCAACTTTAGTAGAAGATCTCGGTTAAAAGCCCAAGGGTTCCTAAACCCTAAACCTTCATTAAACTTACTTTTGCAAACCTTTTTCCAATTAATCCAATTAATTTTCTTTTGATTTTTGGTCTCACCCCACA